AGAGGGAGTTGTCCCTTACACAAGAGAGCGGCAGGAATGAATGGAGCTCTGCCAGGGGATCGATGATGAGCCAGGTGAGAGCTTATGGGTCAGGATTAGTCGGCAGACAAACATGGGTGACATTGTAGTGGGCGTCTGCTATTGACGTCCTGAGCAGGAAGAAGTAGATGAGGCCTTCTTCAAACAGCTGGAAAAAGCCTCGCATTCACAGGCCCTGGTCCTCATAGGGGACTTCAACCACCCTGATGCCTGCTGGAAGCGCAATACAGCAGTGCTCAAGCAATCCACAAGATTTCTCGAGTGCATTGATGACATTTTCCAGCACAAGTAATCAAGGAACCAGCAAGGAAAAGTGCTCAGCTGGACCAGACACTTGCAAACAAGGAAGAACTTTGTCAGGGACATGAAAGTCAGAGGCAGTGTTGGCTGCAGTGTCCATAAGAAGGTGGAGTTCAGGATCCCAGGAGGAGAGAGCAGGGTGAAAAGCAAGATCACAGCCTTGGATTTCAGGAGAGCAGATTTAAAACCTCTTCAGGGATGTGCTTGGAAGAATACCGTGGAATGTGACCCTGGAGAGAAGATGGGTTGAGAAGAGCTGGCTGGTATTCAAGGGTCACCTCCTCCAAGCTCTAGAAGAGTCTGTCCTGATGAACAGAAAACCAAGCAAAGTGGCAGGAAGCCTGCATGGATAAGCACAGAGCTCCTAACTGAACTCAAACATCAAAACAAAGTGTGGAACAAAGCGGTGGAAGCAGGGGCAAGTGACCCAGGTGGAGTATAGAGTTGCTGTCTGATCATGCAGGAATGGGGTTAGAAAAACCAGTGCTGAGCTGGAGGTGAATCTGGCAAAGATGTGATGTGCAACAAGAAAGGATTTCCTACATATATAGAGCAAAAGCAAGAGGAGGGAATATGCGAACCCACTGCTGAATGGAGCAGGGCAGCTGGTGACAAATGACATGGATACGGCTCAGGTACTCAACACCTTCTTTGCCTCACTCTTTACCATTCAAACTGGCCTTCAAGAATCCCAGGCCCCTGAGACCAGAGGGAAAGTCTGGAGCAAGGAAGGCTTATTGTCAGGGAAGGAGGAAGAAATTAGGGAGCACTTGAAAAAACTGCACCTACCTAAGGCCACAGGAACAGATGGGATGCATCACCCACCAGTGCTGAGGAGGCTGGCTGATGTAATTGTGAGGCCACTGCCAATTATCTCCTAGTCATGGCAACTGGGAGAGGTTCAGGAAGACTGGAAGAGAGCAAATATCACTCCTACCTTCAAGAAAGGCAAGAAGGAAGATACAGGGAACTATAGGCTGGCCAATCTCACCTCAGTCACTGGGATGGTGATGGAGAAAATCCTCCTGGTAAGCATTTCCTTAAAGATCTGAAGGACAAGACGGTGATCAGGAGTAGTCAGAATGGATTTATGAGGGGGAAATCATGCTTGACCAACATGATAGCCTTCTACAATAAGGTGATTAGCCTGATGGTCAAGAGGAGAGCGGTGGAGGTTGTTTACCTCGACTTCAGTAAAGCTTTTGACAGTGTCTCCCGTAACATCATCATAGACAAGCTGACAAAGTACAGGTTAGTCGAGTGAATAGTAAGGTGGACAGGAAACTGGCCAAACAACTGGGTCCAGAGGGTTGTGATAGGTGGTACAAAGTCCAATTGGCAGCAAGTCAGCAGTGGTGTCAACACTCCCCCCAGAAGTCAACATGGGGGCCAATACTGTTCAACATCTTCATTAATGACCTGGACAATGGGACAGAATGTGCTCTCAGCAGGTTTGCAGATGATGAAAAACTGGGAGCAGTGGTTTTACAGATAGACCTGAACACACTGCAGAAATGGGCAGAGAGGAATCTCATGAAGCTCAACAAGGGGAAATGCAAAGTCCTGCACCTGAGGAGGAGTAATGTCACATGGCAGTACATGCTGGGGACTGGTAGGGAAGGGAAGAGGAAATCTGTTTGGTTCATCTACTTGGTTCACAGGACCTTCAGGGCCTGATAATGAGGGAAGGAGCATGAATACGTGACTCGCTCGGTCACAGGGAATGGCTGCTTGCCACATAAAATGGTGTTAGTTATGCTAACCACATTACCAGGGGTTGGAAGCAGGGGGTACTGGTCACAGGGTCAAGGCAGGTGATCCTTCCCCCGTGCTCAGCACTAGTGAGCCTGCACCTGGAGTGCTGGGTCCAGTTCTGCACTCCCCAGTATGTGAGAGGAATGGACTTACTGGAAAGGGTCCAGTGAAGGACCACAAAGACGATGAAGGGACCAGAGTATCTGGCATATGAGGAAAGGCTGGTAGAGCTGGGACCGTTAAGCCTGGAGAAGAGAACGCTCAAGGGAGGTCTCATCAAGGCGTTGTAACCATCATTCCCGTACCTGATGGGAATGAAAGAGGCAGCCAGGCTTTCCACAGTAGTGCCCACTGTCAGGACAACAGGCACAAATCAAAACACATGGAATTCAATCTGAACACAGGAAAACACTTTTTTTTTTAATGTGGGGGTGGTCAAACACTGGAGCAGGTTCCCTGGATATGTTGTGGAGTCTCCATCCCTGGAGATATTCAAAGGTATCCGGACATGGTCCTGGGCAAGTGGCTCCAGGTGGCCCTGCCTGAGCAGGGCGGTTGGACCAGACGACCTCCAACCTCAAACATTCTGTGATTCAGTGAAGTCAAGCTGAGACTTGTCCCTTTTGTATCTATGCTGTTTCTAACATTGTGATTACTCTTTTTAGCTTTGTTTCCTGGGGCCTTTAACTGTTGCACAACGATTTCAGATGAAATTCCCAAAGGAATTCTCCGAAGAGTGAAGAGGTTTGAAATCCAGAAAGCAGATGGCCTGTGTCACCTAGAAGCTGTTATGTAAGAGATGTTTTGGGTCCTTCACTGTGAAAGGGGTACCATCAAGTTAAAACCCAACAGGTGCCATTTATACAAGTAGAATCTTAGAGTGCTAACACAAATTCAATGAAAAACAAAATTGTGTGTGATTTAAGAACTGTCCTTCCTTGCACTGTTTAAATTTCTGACTGCTAAAAGTGAATTTCCTTTTCAGTAATAAAATCTATCATTATTGGGCCTGCACTAACTCTGACACTTGCTTTATTTTCAGAACTGAAGCATGACTCACGCACCTTAAAAATTCTGTTTTTTTCTAACTATTGTTCCTCTATAAACCTTGCCTAAACTCATTAAATCAGCTTTGCTTTTGTATACAAGATATTCTAAATTTTTTTTTTTTTGGCTGGAACAATATCATTCTATTTGGGTACTGATAAATTTCAGAGAAATCCTGGACATTTGTTATTTCTAGACATTTGCATGATGATTGTGACAATAACAATAAATGTAGCAATAATAATAATAATAATAATAATAACAACAACAACAGCAGCAGCAACAACAACAACAACAACAATAATAATTAAGCAGTCTACTTATCAATTGGCCAGAGAAATGTACTGTTGTGCGCTGTGATTCTTTTCAGACCCACTGAAGTAGTAAAGTGTTTTTCAGGTTTTGAAAGACAAGTGTAATCATGTAAACCTCAGACACTAATTATTACATACTTGAAACCAGACAGAAGTGAGGAGACATAGTATAAAATATAATTTAAGATTAACCAATTCTAACTTTGTGCTCTTCTTAGGTGAGTGATACGCACAATTGTTTTAAACAGTTGTGGAGTTTACATTTTTTCTTTGAAACTGACAACTAATTTTTGCTCTGGCAGCCTCTACATAGAAAGCAGAAAGTTCTGTGTGAGCCCACGGATTAGAAAAGTTGAAAAATGGATGAAGAAGAGTAAGCACAAGACTTCCAGAAAAAAACATCATAGTAGAAAGCAGAGAAGAACCAAAGTTATTAAAAAGAAAGGAAAGAAAGGAAAGAAAGGAAAGAAACAGTAAGATGATGAAGCAAGCCCCATAACGAAGGTACTTGTGGCATATGGCACCGCGAACAAAGATACCAGACTGCATCAACGATGGACGATTGTGGCATTAAAATGACTTTTCAAATACCTATCTGCTAGAGAAAGCAGTGGCAGAAAACATCACCTGATCACAAGAACAATGCTGGTCAGATTACCAGCCAGATGACAAGGTGTTCCTGACAATGTGGCGTAGCAAGTGCTCGCTGTACCTCCTAGATCTGTTGGTAGATTTAAACCCTCCTCTCTCCCACCCTGCTTTCACGGCAGCCTCCCCTGTGATTTCAGTTTGAACAAGCCAGTCTGCAGTTCCTTCTCATTGCTCCATTTTGCCAGTCCCATTCTCGGTCCTTACTCTTCATTGCCTGCAATAATCTTTGTGCTGTTGCCTGCTTGTTGCTCTTCTTCCATTCATTAATCTTTTTTTTTTTCCTCTTCCATAATTTTACAGAGACCTTTCCAGATACTAGTTCGGTTGGCCAAAACCGTGTATCTTTTACCTGTTCCGAACAGCCTCTACTCCCAGCTGTTGCGGTCACAAAATACCACTTCAGTGACAATAAACCGAGCCTGTTCACTGGGCTCAAAGTGTGGCATCCGAAGCTGTACAATAAAGATAATCTCTGTTGCTTTTGTTCATTCAGACCCTTCAGCTGGGTCCTTCCTACCCTCTTCGCTGAATTTCTCATGATTAGCACTGAGGACTGCACATGTCCGTCAAGGCCTTTCTTTGAAGACGAACCATGCGGCCGGTCTGGCTACCCGCCACATAGCTCCCTCCCACTGCAGGGCACTGCCTTCTCCCCTGTGGCACAGCCTCCAGCTCCCTCCCTCCTTCCTCGGGAACTTCAGACTAATTCAACATCTCCACAAAGCCACCTCAGTCAAAGGCGCTTTTCCTCAGAGACACATACGTGGAAAGCAGCAAATGAGGGAAAAAAGGGATCTTAAAGACAGTAACTGCCACAGAATGCATACTGAAAATATTTACCTAGTGAGCCAAAAACACTTAATATAGCAGCATAATTCTGTTCTTCCTCCTCTTCCCCTACTAATTATTGTTTGTTTTTGTTCACTGCATTTGACTTAAATGAGCTCCTCAGGGTTGTCTCTTGTATTTGTTTTGTAATTGCTATGTCTAACTGCATACTGCAAACATGGGAGAAAGCAGGGCAGATGGCAGTAGATAGAAGCAGCTGCTGACAGGTTCCCTGAATAAAATAAAGCTGTAGCAAGGTCACTGGAGAATAGGTAGCGTACTCCCACAGGTGCGTATCTGATGAAACTGGCTCCTTCCAAATGAGACAAGAGAAAACAAGAAACACAGTTGTCTTCTCTGATGAGCCAACAGCCTCCTGACAGGTATGAGGCCACTTGCCTGACTCCTTTTCCAGTTCCCAGGAATATTGTGTGCACCACGCACACTTGGCACGGCTCTGCCTACTCTGCCGGGAGTGGGGATTGCTCCCGCCCCGAACACACACAGTGGCTCTCGCTCCCAAACGCCGTGCTCAGCACGCTGGGGAGGCAGAGGGTGCCGGCTGGAATGACACACGTTTTCCAACATTTCATTTGCAGCCTGGCGCTGCACCGCCTGGACACCACACAGGTAGAGCAAGGGGGTGTTAGACAGAACCCAGTCCTCCCGAGCCCAGGTCAGCAGAGCACCGGGAACGCTGATCTGCTGAAATACATTACACTACGGTGTCAGTGTCTTACTGTTCCTGACAGTTCCATTCATTTTCTTCCTCATGTTCTGCTCTGGATTCCAGATATCACGTTCACACTTCCCTCCTGAGTCACAGATTTCTAGGTGGGCTTATGACAGCACCTCAGCTCCCGACAGCTTTTCCATCAATGCAGCCAGTGCCCTTGGGAGTGTACAGCGTGCCCCGCGTACGGACTGACGTACGGCGCGTACCCTGCTGTCCGTGCCTGCTCTATTGAAGGCACTCCGCGTTTCACAGAGCTGGAGTGCACAGCTGACGTGCCAGGCTGGCACACGCCTGCCTGAGGCCCCTGTGAACCACAAGAGAAGGGAAGGGAAGGGAAGGGAAGGGAAGGGAAGGGAAGGGAAGTCCCTGTTGGTTTAGACACGGGCTGTGGGGAAGCTCCATCCGGTCCTGGCTGGCAGACCAGCACAGCTGCGGCTCTCCCTGCAGTCTGGAGAGCGGTTTCTGCTTGCTGGTGGTCACCTCCTTTTGTACCGTCAGCTTTCCAGGCCCCCAAATCTTAGATTCTTATCTGTTCAACAGTCACTGCTTCATGTTTGAAATGATGACACTGCTGCAGTTCCTCCTCTTACACATACTGTGTAAAAGCAGATTAGTGTGGATCGAAATGCCTTTTTGTATCTTTTAATAACTGGAGTTGTTGCAACGTCAAAATACTTTAAGACCCAGCCAGACCTGCAACTCAGATGCTATTGAAATATTTGCATTTACTGTACCTACTTTAAAAGACAGGCTTTGAGATGTTTGTTTACATCTCCCAGTTCTTCAGAGTGTGTTATCTTGCATCAGGTTCTCTCAGGTTCAGTAGATGAAACTGAGAGATTATGAGAGGACAGAAGTCCTCTCCTAGCTGTCAGCTGTGTTTCGAGTTTGTGTTCCTGTGCTTTCTTTTGGGGATTGAATTAGAAATAATTTCTGTTAGTCATAGTCCCTGATATTGGCATATGCAGTATCCAAACACTTGAAAGACCTGCTATCTGGTACAGTTTCATTTGTCCCTGAACCCTGACACACAAATGTGTAAAGAAAACCCCTTTCAGCTTCCAAACCTTCACTCAGGTGACCTGACACTCTCTGTACTTGAGCATTATTTTTGACCTTTGCTGTTTTGTACTTGGCAACAAAATAAAATCAATACCTTTTTCAGTAAAGTCCTCTCAACATCTCGTTTTGTGGAAGACGTTATTACAGCCTGGGACTCTGTTTTCCCTGAAAATGCTGGCTAAAGCTCTCTTTTCAATGGGTTTAGGTGCCTGAAGATGTAGTTGGCTGCGTTTGACAGCCACAGTAAGTATTTTAGTGACTTAGAAGCCTAGCTACCATTGACTTCAATCCAAATGAGGCCTGAAATTAATATTCTTGAAAATTCCGATAAATTCAATCTTAAACGGTTTTAAGAAACAGCTTTAATCATCTGTCTGTTTCATTTATTTTAAGAGTTATTAACTTAACCTTATATGACAGTCTTCTTTCTCTCTAGGAGGCTTTAGAAAAAAAAGTCACAGATAGAATTGCTTGAGAATTACTGAACAGAAGCAAAGAACCTGGTCTATTGAGACAAAACCAGCGCCCTAAATTTGATACATGGGCTTAAAAGTAGAAGTAAAGGTCAGTCATCGGACAGCAAACACTTTTCTTTCAAAACAGTACTGGATTAGGACATCCCATCCACTTTTACACAGCTGAGAGGTGGTGAGAGAGACTTGCATTCAAACTCCCCTTTTACCAAAACGGACTGGATCTTAACAGAGAAATAAGAATTGTGTCTGTCCTCTCACTAGCAGCATCTGAGCATGTTTCTGCTCCCAGGTTACTCTGAGCAATGCTGGATTTCTTTGCTAATACCATCTTCGTTAAATGGACTCTCCTTTATCAGGTTTCCAGTTCTAAGGTTACTGAGGTGCAGCACCCACTTTGGTACATTTGTCCAAATTACCAAATACAGTCTCCACTACAAATCTCACTGGACAGATTCGTTAAGCTCAAGAGCCACGAATGGAAAATGACCTGCATTCTCACAAGCTGGGCTGGAAATAGCAGCAATCACATGTCTGGAGCATAATTTGGTTAGAGGACTAGAATCAATTACCTATGAGGTTTGGAACAAGATCCACCCTCAACTTCAATGTTATTAGTGCAGTCTTTCCGAGAAACTTGTATAAAGCAATTGTAGTCTATTGCAACAGCAGTACAGGCAGATCCTTTCTTGTGAAGAAATAATCGTAATTTTTTTGTAAGTATTCCCTTGCGATACACTCAGTGACAGGAAAAGTAAATAGCAGCATCATAAAGCTGAATAAAAAGAATAATGCTATTGGCAAAAATTATAAAATAAATTGTACTGATTAGTAGGAAAAAGTAGTAGATCTTAGGCTATAAAGAATTACTCATCAAACTAATCCTCAAGAGGATGATGTCTGGACTTGTTGTAAATTTAAATTAGCATCTGGACCCAGAAACATCCTGAGGAGACAAATACTTTGCTTTCAGCAGCGTAGGTTAGATACCTGGTCTCTGAATTTAACTATTAGACAACTATTAGAAAACTAGGACTGCACTGTGTCAGTTACCTCAGTTGTAAAACTCTGAAAATCCACATTTTACCTTCTAGCTTTCAGTACTGGCACAATAGGAGAACATGGTTATAATTTTATTGGCTACAGGTAGTTGATTTGGTGGGGTTTCTTTTCGCAAACAGATGATTTTAAATTAGTAGCAATGATTTTGTGTATGTCTATGTCACACTATCTTCCACCTCACAGAAAGTTAATATCAAAGACTATGGGACATCATTCATCATCTGCTCACTGCAGGGGAGTTGGACCTAGGTGACCTTTAAAGGTCCCTTCCAACCCAAAGCATTCTATGATTCTATGATCTTGTACCATGGACCGTCTCCCCAAGCTAATCTTAGTCATTTTGGCACTTTTTTTAAATCAAATCTGTGAAGAGGTAATAAAGATAAGAAGACTGCTATTTACATCTGTGCTTATTGTTGACTACACACCAAAAAAACAACTATGAAAACCTGTTCTGCCTTTCCCACTTTGAAAGCAAATACAACATTTATAAGAAAAAAAAAACCCACCACCACGTAAGTGCAAGCTTCCAGGCGAGCAGATTCAAGGTGTCAGGGAGCAGAAAGGGCTGCGGTGGAGCCAGGAGCAGAATGTGACAACAAGGCAGGCAGGGCCACGGCCTTGCCGATGAGGGC